CGTACCCAGGGATTTAGGTCACACGGTGATTGGCGGCAAGCAACATTACACTGGTGGCCAAGGACAAGTGCCCTTGAGACCGCAACAGGGATGCCAAGCGTACTAAGATCCTTATACGAGATTTTTGGCGCCACGCCGCCGCCGGTAGGAAAAGATTTTCATTCTCGTACGGGATTTGTATTTTAAAGACCTACGAAAATTTGTTAAATTGACTATGATGTAATAGAGTCAAATTGAGATTTTGTCACATTTCTTTATTTCTTAATTAAGAGTATGTAATATTATGTTATCTGTGATTACGGTTAATGATAAGGTTATGCGTTTTAAGGTTGGCAACCCTGGATCTCTGGGCACGTAAAATTGATGTTTCAGTTTTCTTTTCCTGTATATGTAGCATGTGTACATTTTTATTGTTTAAGTGGAAAAAGTAAATGGTAGTCTCATTTTTTTAAATAAATTTTAAATACATATTTCAAATAGAGGTTGGGAATTATTATGGACGCTGCAATGTAATTTGTGATGTCCGTAGTGAACCGTCAATGTAAAGTATGTCTGCATGAAATTATTTGTATATTTAAGATTAATTACATAAAATAAATTCTAAGTTCGTGTTTAGGTGCGAGATTTTCCACGTATCGATAATGTTTTTCTTATTAGCAAGTGCTGAAGAAAGCTGCGTAAAGCAGGACGTAGGTATGCCTATTAAAATGCATATGCATGCATATATATAAATTTGCATTTTCTTTGAGGTTGTATTATTTTATTTTTATTGTAGTCCACTAGGCTTACTGATATTATGCAAAAATTTTCGGCACTGTATGTTGCCAAAATTAAGAGAGAAAAAATCCTTAAAATTCATGAGAGACCACAATTAAATTATACATATATTACTGTTACTATTTCGTATATATGCTTTTGCAACAAATAAAAATATGTAAGTTACAAATACTTACAGCGTTACTTGTAAGTTGACATTGCACTTTTATTGGTAAAAATCAATATCCTATCCAGAGTTATTATTATTTTATTTTATGAAATATATTTTATATAAATAAGTATATTAAGATTTATATTATGTAATACAAGTATTATATTGTTGTTACTAAGATCATTATTTATACAATAACAGTAAACAAAGCAACAGGTAGTAGAAATGGTGAGCACATTAATTCGAGCTTTTTCCCTCCACAATCGGTTCTGAACGAGCGGTCACCATCGGCAGCTGCGCGCGCGACGGTCGCGTGCCTCGTAAACGCACGACCGGAGCCGAACCGGCACGCGTCGCAGGCGTCGCTGCGCCCGCGCATGATTGATGCAAAATTTGGCTGAAATTAACTGCGCAACTATTTCTATGAAAATGTAATGACAAATTAAATAGATAATATAAAAAAAATACATTTAATATTATTATTTATCATAGTCAGCTCGTGACCACGGCCAGTGTAACCTATCGAAAAATCGAGAGAGGTAGTCTTTATTTACCATTAAATAATCGTGTAAACCCGGTTAACATTTAATGTTGTCCAATAGCAAAAAAAACAGTTTTTTAAAAAATACGAATCCCTACAAATTAACATTATTACATTTGTTGATTTAAATCTGTTAAATTTGTAAAGACAAATCTTGACTTAATATTTGTCATAGCCCATGTAACTTTGTAAATCTTATAGCAAAATGTCTTTTCTAACTTTTTACTATTCGCATTCAAATATTTCGTATATTCTTTATTGAGTACTGCGATGAATAAATATAATAATATGATTTCTACTCCTAGAATGAAGATGAGTATTACTTTAGATTTGTCATCAGAAATTGATATTTACTGATTGTCTTGTTTGTCTCAATAAAAAAGTCATAAAAATGTCATTTAATCCTGTAATGAGAAATTTTTGCAGATAAAGGATCAGCAGTATTCTCATATATTTATTCTTCTATATTACTTAATAGGATAACCATATAATAATGAGTAGATAGATATTACACTGTTTATAAGAGCGCTTATACTCCGCGACTGAGTATTTATATCAATATAAACAAGGCGGTCAATTCTTTAGCGTAGTACTAAAATTATTATTACTTTATATTCTTAGAAATCTTAATTTGCAGTTGTGCCGCTCAGATTATATCTTAATGACATAATTATTACACGAACGCGCCTCCTTCACTCGGAAAATATGGACACCTTCAATAATGGCGCGGAATGTTGGTCTCTTCCCCTCCAAATATAATGATGGCAATTGTTTTATTGCGTCTAGTATGAATGATGTTAGCAAATTCGTAGAACAATTTAAATTACGATCATTAGGAGGCGTTATCATCATTGTACACACCTGCAGAACCGAAGTAATTATTGTAAGAGACTGTCGCAAAGATTCGCTTGTTAAAAACCGAATTAGGGTCACTAGGCGCCACTATAGTTACTTTTTAGCGTTGGAAACAATTTTATTTGAACAGGTTCCTAGAAACGAGATTTATAATCAGGATCTGCAGTTATGGTGGGCGTTGTTGGTTGCTTATGTGGGCAAAGTGGTAGATGCCTGTTCTGGTTTATTCTATCGATTTTATATTTTTAAGGAATTTTAGTTTTTTTTATAGACAAAATTTTTTTTGCCTAAATCAAAATTTGAATGAAGAAGGTTTTGATGATTTGATTTGCATAAACTTTACTTTTGTCTCACCTAGTTTATTTCCAATTACTTAGTAGGACTTTAAAGGAGGTGCTAATAATGTTGAATTTATAATACAGGTAAGAGAATTAATACATAATAATATTTATATACAAAACTAATACATAATAATACTTATTGAATAAATAACAACAATATTCAATAAAAAATAATTAAAAGTGTAGAACTATATTCAACTTTAACTATGGAGTGTGTATTGGAATACAAAAGTTTCTAAAGAAACATATTCGATTTTGCTTTAGTTTATTCTATGTAAATACAATAATAATAATACAAATAAAACAATAATAATACAAACTCGTTAATACTAATAATAATACATATTAAGCGCCGATGAAACCTGTAATCACTGAAAGTGCAGCTAGAACTCTAAACCAATATTCTAATGAGTTCGTTGAGTAGATCGGTCTACTAGTTCATTTATCAATCAATTTTATTCACTGAATGATCGAAATTATGATTTGGTATAATTAATTATAAGAAGACAAATATATATAGAATGCGTAAGCATAATTTATTCAATAAATTACAATATAGACCAAACGATGGCATACTAACATAGAAAATAGTAAACCAACATTGGTAATTGTAACAACGGACAGTATAATAACGAGCAATTACAGGATGTAGACTTACATAGTAACCGATAATTAATGTAAAGAAAATTAACTGCCGTCAAAATGATTCGCAAATCCACAGGTGCGTTCAAAGTTGCCATACGTTTCCGCAGCATCTAGTAGATCCCGTTCCTTAGAAACAAGTTCCAACAATTAATATCCAAAGGAAACATCCACCCATAATCGCAATGGCTTCCCTTCGCTTCCATTATCAAAAATTATTATTGCTATTTGATTTCGATGTGCGGCGAACGTGATCCAGTTGCATCCAGATTGTCTTTTAAAATTAAATACAACATGTATGTTTAGGGTCCCATTTTGTAATTCGCGTTTTATTATTTTCTTTTGCGAAATGTAATGCGATCTGAAGCACGTGTGGAAAGAAAACCTTTTGTTATTTTAATTTTGCAACGTTTTAACTATAGAATACGGTTATTAAAAATATTTACCAAAAACCGGTATTACTGGTATCATACTGTGTATTCATTTTAACTATCAACTATACTACTGTAGAATACTACTTGTATAATAGGCAGTATAATACCTATTAGTTATGTAATATATATATTCTAATATTTGTTATTTTAGGTAGAGTTATATTACAAGACGATAATTTCTTAGCTTTTCTATATGTTAATTTCCTAACTGATCTATTTTAATCTGTATTGCTATCAAAATTAAATTTGAAATTATTTAAAAAGTTTTTAATCGAATATATTTTATTTATTACAATATATTTTATTACAAGTTCATACAACTTCCGATCACCAATTTATTTAAGTTATGAATTTTTTGTGTTTCGCTTTACTTTGTAAACCTAGATTGGAAAAATATTTAATCTGTTTTATCAACATTGCCCCATTTGTATACGGATTTCAGTTAAAGTTAAACATACATAACACATGACCTTCAGTACCTATACTTATACATAGTACCTATATTTCTTCGAGGAAATGATATATGAGGACTACAGTATTATTTTTTTAAAGTACTCGGAATGATAAACAAGTTTCACCAGTTTATTTACAGCACCAACAAGTATAAATTTTTTAAACTTAAGATTTGGTTTTTATTCTATTGTGAACATTTTACTAACCAGGAATGGTCTACCATATTTTTCATAAAATGGATTTTAGCTTGGCTAATATATTCTAAACTTATTAGCTGTATCAAAATTCATCCATCCTTATAGTAATACAAACCGTACTAAAGTAAGATAATACGCCTCTAACAGGTTCACACATTCTTAAATAAGTGTTATAGAATAACTCTTTTAACAAAGCAATAATCGTTGCCTTTTATCGAAGAATAATAGGCTATAGCATTTTTGTGATTTAATGTTAACTGGGAAATACTCTATAAATGCACAGACTCTGCTATTTAATCTGTTGGATTGTTTTTTATTGATTCACCAATTTTATTAATTCGTTTTTAAGTTACCAAAGTATATTGTTCACCATGTATATATTTCTAAGAAATAAGTATTTTCTTGTTAATAATATACGATGAGGCCTAAAAAAATATTCTACACTTATACTTAAATAGGTGTAAATATATTTAGGTATATAAAGTACCTACACCTATGTAAGTAACTAGTTTACTCTATTTGCACTCTCTATAGAATAGCAGAAACATACGTTCGTATTACTAGAGTAGGTAAGATAAATTTGTAAGTCGTATAAATTAAAATACGGTATACGTCGAAATATTTTATTTATTTCATGAAACAACCGAATGTTTGAAGCTGGGTAGTTTCTTTTAATTTGACTATAAACAGTTCTTTTAATATAAAAAAAAATCTTAAAATATTAGGAATCTGTCTTAGGGTGCTACTATAATTTATCTATGTACACTAGAAGTCTTTGTCTGAAGATTTCCAAACTATAGTTATAAAATCGTGAACTTTCATAAGATAATGTCATACCATAAGGTAACCACTTATACTAAACAAAAGTCACAATCTACTTTAATATTACAATTTTAAACATAAACATATCACTAATGACTAGATAACAGTTATAAACTATATTAATACTTAATACTTTAACTGGAAGCTATCGTATTTACGTAGGTGAGGCTTATAATAAGGCACAGCGATGTGAATCACTTATCATAATACTAAATGCATAAATGGAACAAATAATCGATTCAGTCTTTGTCGTACTATCCCATCGATGTATGAAATGCAGTAAAGGGTATTCGTTGGGTGCTCTGTCGGCGGAATGCATCGATGAGGTCGTTATAGTCCACCATTATCCCCTCTCATTAGGAATAAACTGATTACGCTTAATTAGAGGTTCTCTCGGAGTCCCTCGCGCTCCATCGCCCGGACTCCTCTGGAGGAATACTTGCTTTTTTCACAAGCCGTCCATTGGCCGCACTTTGATCACCGTAATGCACGGTTCCTGGGAACAAGAAAAAAAGCAACATTTATAACAAATGTTTAAAATTCACTTCTTAAATAAAAGAAATCAAGTGCCAGACCTTTGATAAAGATAAATATATATAGGAAAACACGCAAGGCATATCTCTATAGGCTGCCGTATGACGCTATTCGATTCCCATGAACACTAAGGTATCAACAGATGTTTGTTCAGAGCTTAGCAAATATTGTAACACGTGTGCTTTGCTCACCGCCCTTCTATTTCCTCTTGAGATTTCGTCTTCCGGCAAAATAAATTAATAGTCAACAAAGAAGCCCTGAATATTTTTTGCGATATCATTTAATATTTAGATGCGGTCCTACCAGTTTACTTCTCGTAAATCCGTAAAATTGTACCATATGGTGATAGTGATAAAAAAAGTGCTGACCGGATGTGGTATCAACATTTTAAAGACGTCATCTTTGAATAAACCTGTTTCCACTTGCAATGAATTTAAGTAATCTTCTGACTTGTTATTAAAATAGACCACTTTTTATATGCAATTTTCCCACATCATGCGGGGCGAACCGGGCGAACCACAAGTTTGTTAGGAATCATTGATGCTCGCTATTGACGTAAATATATAAACAGAATGCGGGTACCTACTTTTTATCCCATGAAATATCTAGGGAAATATTTTTCCAAAATCCTAAAAAAACATTACCTACCTACGACCTTTTATGGACGACATATTTTAAGATTCGCTATTGTAAAGGACATGCTATTGTGTCGTTGTAATTTTACAATGAATAGATAAAGTCTATCCGATGGTTCAATGCGCGACCATAATAGAATTTATGTATTTACTTTTTGCGTGCCAGGCCAAAAATTCTGAATGTCTATTGAAGTTGTGCAACATAATGGTACGATACAAAAATCGACCTGGTAGGTAACCGTAACTAATGAATCGTATAAGAAAAAAATATTTTTACGAAATTCTTGTGAGCCTTAAGGTTTGACGATATCTGATATTATAGCTCATATATTTACCAAAAATATGTAGTAACATAGGAATTGAGAATAAAGAATATTTCATCAGTTTCTAAGGAATAAAAAAACATGTAATTCCACTGTTGGCTGAGTTCAAACTTATAATTTAACGATATCAATGAATCAACAAACGGCGCGACAAATGTCAACAGTGATAAGAAAATCATTATCAAAGCTCTGGAGATTAGTTCTGTGTTAACACATATAAGGACTTATACAGAAAATGAATGTCGTTCACTACTGAGTTCTAAATAATATTTAAATCCAAAAATAAAATTCTTACCTTTTGAATCACTGCTGTTGCCACCATGTTATGACGTCAAGGAGTTCTTCGTCTTCTGGACTCATAGGTTCATATGAATCATATGCATCATGACCACTTGGACCTGCCGAGCTCTCTGATATTAAAGAAGGTGCCGGTGAATGAGATTCTTCTGACGATGGAGGCGTTTGTGGTCCATTTGTTGTTAAACCCAATCCTATTTGAGAATCCGAGCATCCTTCTTCGTTTTCTTCTAGCAAACGTTTCAAGCTTTTAATGTATTCCACAGCCAATCTCAATGTATCCACTTTACTTAATTTTCTTGATGACCCTCTACCCCCAGCAAGTGCCGCTGTAACAGCTGATGGTATGTGTTGACGGAGTGCTGCAAATCCATTATTGACTTGTTTTACTCTATTCCGTTCCCTGGCATTTCTTCTAGCTACTGAGGCCGGTTGTGATGGATATGGCTGATGGAGATATGATTTCTTCTTACACCGAGATGCATCAACAGGTGCGGGTGCGAGTCTTCTAGGTGCAGCAGATTGCAGATGCACCAGCTTCTGATCTACACCGAGATTTTGATAACCGTGAATGGCCGTCATCGGCATCGCGGACGTAAACTTGACGGGATTATATTGAGAGCACACGAGTGTGAACCGCGCGGAGGTTGCCGGTGGATTGGCGGAGGTGGCGTGCACCCCCGACGCTAAGTAGCGCGAGCACCGGCGGGCGGCGGGCGGCGGCGGGCCACTCGGCGAGGCGGTGGGGCGCGTGCCCGGCGCGCGCGCATACGCTCGGGCCGCCTGCCTCGCTCCCCTGCTACTTGTAGCGCTGTGATCAAAATACGCCGGCGCTTATTATGCCATAGAGCGGTAAGCTCGCGCCGCTATTGTTGCACGTCGTTGCGCGTAATTATCCCGTCCATTACCTTGTTCGGAAGACGCGATCTGTTCACATCGTCTATTTAGAAGTCGTTAAAGAGAATAGGCGCTGTAAACGTATCAGAGACGATATTGTTTTATTAATGTCTTGAACTTTTGTCGGCCGTAATAAGCTTTCATATTTTTTGCCACATAACATAGGTATACTTTTCATTATATTACTCATAGTCGGAAAAAAGATAAACAAGAATTCATCTGTCATTAATAATTTTACGTTTTACTAGTACGATTCTACGTAGTTTTATTTACAGATATCTGATGTATATCTACTGATAATATTGTATTCAAAATTGAATTTCTAATCTAACGTTACTTTAGAAATGTTATATTTAGGTAATTTTTAGCAATTAACAATATCTAGATTATTATTTAGAAAGAAACTATTAATAAGACTATAGTGAAGTTTGAAATTGTTTGAACTGTAAAACGCATCTATATTTTTTTGTAATTAAGCAAAGTGTGGGCGTCAAGTTAGCAGGTGCAGTAGCATAAAACTCTGTTGTGTATAAGAATGCTTATAATAGTTCAATTCGCTAGGAAGTTTATTTGTTTATATTATGTTTCGTTTATCCGCGTAAAATACGTGACCTTGATAAATAATGAAAAATATTTAGCAGGTTGACAGGTGAATTTCATAATATGTGTAACGTTAAATTAAAACAGATGTACATGGTCTCATATTGTTATTATTGGTGCACGTCTTAAAACCAATTTAGTAGTTCATTTCTTATTGTAAAAGAGATTTGATGATATTGTTTGTAGCCTACTAGATAGCGCAATGAAGGATAAATAAATTTAAAAAAAATTGTGTGTGCTTTTCAAGCAAAAATTATATATTATTAATTTCAGGTTTGTGAAAAAAAATAAAAAGTATTAGTTCTGATATTCTTATGTTGGTAATAGAACCTCTCAGTAAAGGCACGCGTCTAGTTGGCAGGTGTGATGTATACAGGTAGGTGACTTGACTTGCACACTGGGTGAGTTACTTTACCTGTTCCTCAGCTGTTCCACAGAATATTATATTATATATTCCTTATAATCTTAGGATTGTATATACATATGTTCATTGGTTAGATGTAATCGGTAGGTTACATAGATATCCTGTGGAAAGATAAAATAATATATGTTCTTCTATCATATTCTGAGGAATGGATACATTATCATAACAACTACGGCCCACTGTCCTAGTGTCACTTGACTGATCTCTCAGGGTTACGGATTTAATAGTGTATTCACGCCATGTTAACTATGCTCTTATTATAGGTATATACTAGTTTATGTTGAGTTTTCAGGAATAATTTCGATTTATACTTTCGCTGTTGAATTTCATGATAATGCAACCCCTCACAAATTGAATTTCTATTCTATCAGTATGAATTTATTACCTTCAGTATGGTTTAGCATATTTTTCAATTAAAACTCATCTGTATAACCATCTTTATAGTTGTATTAATGTTGCTAACAACATATAGAAATACAAAATGTAGCGTATAAATTAATAAGCCTAGAACCAACAATAGTTCAAATGTAGGGAAAGCTCTTGAAAAACTGCAGTAGAAACCTAAACCCTCTTAATTAACCCGTGAGGTAAGTAAAGTGCGAATATATACTAATATTTGGTTTAATTTTATTACAAATAAAGGAATATTAAACTATATAAAGTATGATTCTCTAGTTCTGAACTAAAATAAAATTGGACCATTTGTATAGTTAGTTTAGCTAACGCTGATTATTACTGACTTAATAAAAATAATTACAGTAATACAAAATTTTAATACTACACATTTATAAATAACTATTTAGTTTCATTAAAAAAAAGTTTCAATTTATATGTCATTTGATGATACCACTACTAATTTCGTACGAGTATCGTGGATTATATTCTTATGTGTATAAACGTTACATAAGTTAACTGATTCTTTTACAACCCTTATTATGAGCTTCGTCTCGCCATCTATCTAACTACCCTTAACAAACGGAACTAAAATCGATATAAAGTTACAAGCACGTTATACACGTTCAGAGACGTTCCTATAGATGGCGTTGTGTTTAATAATAGGGGTTGATATCGAGGGGTGGTTGTGGTTATGGGATGTGTTGATTTATAGTTTCACAAGGCTAATAACAGATGGCTCTTTCTGAAGTTTGTATTCGTGCTTAATATAAAATCTATTTTATGAAATTAATACAGAATATTTGGGCAGACGTTATGAAAGCTAATAAATTTGGAACAGACAGAACCCATATCAACTTTATGTAAAGCTACAATTAATTATAAAAAAAGACAATTTGTTTATTGCAATAAACGTGTATACGTAACATAATGGCGGTTACAGAAAGATTATATCAAAGACTCAATAATACGTATTTACAATGATCGACAAATTCCAAATTTGGATGAAGCCATAAAATGCGAATTTAGACTTTTAGTAATTTCTGAAAAGACAATTAAATTTTATATCGATATACAGTAGCCAACTACCAATTATCGGTGATAGGATTAACGCCTGCCTAACGCTTGGAACGTATGAAGCCATTAATTAAAAATATAATAAATTTCTCGATTGCTTACTACCTCTCTCGTTTAATTATCTGTGCTTATTTAGCGTACCCAACACGATCGATGAACGATTTTATGACCGAAGAGTTCGATAATCGAATTTTAAACAATAATAATATGGAATATATGATTATTTCCAATAAAGCTATTTTTACATATGTTTTACCAAATATGAAAATTAAAGGTGACCTAATTTTGATGATATAATGTATGTGCTGTAAATGTAATGTAGATGCTATGCTGTAAATGCTTATATGAGTACATATAGATATAGAGTGGTATCAAACTTATATGTGCTTATATTAACAAGTATAATCATAATAAGGTTTAAAATTATATTAAAACTGAATTCTAATTTAGTGAAAAAAAAATGTAAATTGCATATTTTATAAGATTGAGATTTTATATAAATTATTTAATACTAAAATGTATGTTAAATAATCATGTTATTGTAAACTGATTTGACAGAAAGTAGGGTAATTAATTTCATCAGTTATTATAATTTAATTTATTATTAATTCATCGCTCTTTTTTTTATACCACTTTCGATTGTCTCTTTTTCCCATACGCAGAAGAGCAATTTTAATTACATTAATTAATTAAAATAGAACTAGTGACTAAGTAATAAATAGTAAGAGGACAAATATTATCTAAATAAAACATAATTACACACAGAGGATTCAAATAATGTACCTAGATATAAGTCATTAAATATTTGCAATACGATTTATAATTGATCTACATACATACATCGCCGCCGATTTAATGGAAACAGAAACGCAGGCAGCCACTTTGATGTCTTTCGGCATGTGCATACGAGACATTTCCAATAGTCCTCTGCCATAATTATCCCGTCGTTCGATGGATTTATTGTCATTTTTAATAACCGCATCGATTTCGCGTGTTAAAACAGCTCGGCGTCAGAAAATTGCTGGATAAAATAAATTGCACTAACAGAAAACACCGTGTAGAATCCATCTTGTAAATAGTTACTTAACAAGTCGTGTAATATTTTGTTTCGGTGTCATATTTAAGTTTTAGTCGGAGATATCTATATGCAATACAAATTAAAATAATACATCCAAAGACACAGACAGATTCTGATTGTCATCAGAACAAACGTTGCACGATGCTTTCTCTGTAAATATCTATAGCTCACCAGCAATAACTTTGGTAGTTATCTAGAAGGCTATCATTTGCTAAATAGCAATCGCAAATAAACCTCGCCGCTTGAATGTACCACCTATATTAGGGACGCTGGGTGCAAACATAGCGCTTGGGTATATAATTTCGCATCGGGTGCGGCGCTGACACGATGCTGGAGCCTCTTCGGTGTAGTTGCCATATCACAATATATCACGTGCCTGCGAACGCTGCCACACTGTATAATTCGTGTAATTTATAGTACCCAGTCGACTAGTAGCAAAGCGGCCGACATGGCTAATAGCGAGTAACCACGCGACAGACGCATTCGTGTAGGTATTACCTGGTATTATGCCTAGGGCGATCCGGCCACTTGGCTATCACAGATACGCATTTTGATTAAATGGCCCTACATGATAGTCGCGCGTAATGTTCTAAAAAGCTGGAATATGCAATACTGCATTTAGACTCAATGATGGCTTAGTGGCGGCACGATTTTTTTTTCAGACAGCATTTATTATAAACATAGGTATATGTCTATTGTTTGTAATTTGTGATAATTGTTTGGTATAATGGTATTTTTCAATTTTGAGTTCTATGTACTACACAATATTTATTTTTATTATTAATTAATATATATTTGAATTTAGAGAAATTATACGTATAGGTATAGCTGGAATCTATAGAGAGTAGTGATTATTAATGTAACCTGCTACCTAAACATTATTATCTAGAGTTTCCTAAATCACTATATACCTATTAAATTATTTACAATTGGAGACGGAAATTGTAACAGAAACTTGTTTATTTGACATTCGAATTGTAAACTCAAAAATACATACCTTTAAACATTAGAAATTCATATCGATATATAAATATTAAATAAAGTTATTAGAGACACTAAACTTGGCTTTATTGTTTTACTTTAAAGTATAAGCTGATAGATTAATAGATATGATACTATTAACATAGCAATTTAATAACAGTAATCCCTATAAATTATCCGCTTATGCATACCTAAATGTTGAACAGCAAACTGATGAAATGAAAATAAGTACAAATATACTGGAATTTATA